CATTGTGTGAATATACCACAGCTTCTCTATCCATTCATTTGTTGATGGGCACTTAGGTTGTTTCCAACTCCTTGCTATTGTGAACAAAGTTGCAGTAAACATGGGTGTGCATGGTGATGGAGCTTTAATATTGTGTTTTCATTCAAGAAGAAGGCAACCAACCACTTCAGATGCTTGCCAATTAAGGATTGGTGAATAAAAGAAAAATATAGGCACTCATAAAAATAAAATAAAATATAGACGCTACTCATCCCTCCTGTGCCTCCTCCACTGCTTCATCTCACAGCCAGGTTGTTTCATGCTTCATCCTTTCCTACAATGCCCTGTAGACTCCAGAGCTTCTCTGTGACCACTGGCCAGGCAGGAGACAAAAAGAAGGAAGACAGTGCGGCTGATCTGACTGAGGGTTCCGAGAGAGGAGGCTGAAAGCCCTCGAGGTCTCAGTGGGGTGTCTGGGGGCTCAGATCCCTTATTTGATTGTCACTTTTCCCTGATTACCAGGTACCTGCCTGGATGACAGCTGGGTCTCCCCTAAGGACTTGACTCCCTCATCCCCCAAAAATGTCAAAACCCAACTGCTCCATGTCCGCACCCGGGATGGAGACCTCGTCCCTGTGATTCACATTGAATGGGCATTGCAAACTGATGGTGAGTGGGGTGCCAGTGGGTGAGGGGGGCCTCCTCTTCTGGGTAAAGACTATACTTCCTCTGTACCCAAAATTGTACTACATCCAACCAGGAGTGCCCAACTTTAGTGCTGCATGCTTCAGCCATTCATTGTGGTTACATGCCATCAAGTCCATTTTGGCTTGTAGCAACCGAGATGACATTGCAGAACTGCCTCCTTCAGGTTTTCTTGCCTGTAATCTTTGTGAGAGTAGACTTCCAGGTCTTTCCCCTTCAGAGTGGCTGGGTGGGTTTGAACCATTGATCTTTCTTTTAATTCAAGCAATATTACTTACATATTTTAAATATTGACCCACAGTGTTATTTTTTATCCTACCATCCTTGATGGAAGCCCTTCTCTCAGCCTAAAATCTTCATCACTATTTGGGGTGGGGTGACAGGGAGGTGTAGAGGTGTAGCCAAGTGGAAAATTGTATGACTACAGCAGAAAACAGCTTCAGTTCCAACTCAAGACCCACATGTGTAAGAGTAGAACTATGTTTGTGATGGTGACTCTCTTGGGAGCCTTCTTAGACACCTCTGAGTGTATGCAAACTGTCACCTCTTTGGTTAATACCCTAAGGCTTAATAATCTGTGCCACAACTTGGGAAAAACATTGGTAACACATTTGCCAGCCTGTTTGTTCTCTTGATTTTGAGCCTGAGACCACTACATCCCCTTACTCCCCCACAAAAAAACCCAACAACAAAAAACCCTCTTCAAGTGTTAAAAAGCTTTATTACAATTTGGTGAGACTTGGGAGTTAATGAAAGTTAGCCCTAGATCGGAGGAAGTTCAGTTTGCATGTTCCCAGCCTGAATGCTCACCACTGACAATGGCAACTTCCTCTTGGCCAGTGGGGGTGGCCATCTCAGACACACCAGCCCTCCAGCCATAAAGATGCAAAGCCTGTGCTTCCAGCCTAGTGTAAAGTATCCCCTGTCCTTGTCCAGCTGGGAAGTAACTTGTGAGACAGAGGCTAGCTGAGGCCCAGGGGGTAAGCCAAAAGGAACAGGAAGTGGGGAATTAGGTAAGACAGACAAATATTCTTGTAAGCGTGAAGGAGTACTTCCCTGCCCCTCCCATTGATTTGCTTTAGCAGATCTCCATCTGACTGTCTTCTCCTCCCTCTGACCCTAGCCAGCATCCTGTACCTAGAGGGCACAGAGCTGTCTATCCTGCAGCAGGACACAAATGAGCTCCTGTGTGTCAAGTTTGAGTTTCTCTCCAAGTTGCAGAATCATCACAAGCGGGTAAGAACTGAGTTCCTACATAGGCCTCTGGAGACACCAACATAACCTTCTCGATTCCAAACTTGGGCTCTAATTTAGAGCAGGGCAGACTGGCGGTGCTATCAGATTAGTTGTTATGCCATATTGAGTCGACTGCAACTCATAGCAACCCTATGAGCTACAGCTCTGAACCTTGCCCTGTCCTGTGCATCTTCATCTCTGACACACTTGAGCCCATTGTCACCATCATTGTGTTGGTCTATCTTGTTGAGGACCTTCCTCGCTTTCTCTGACCCTCCATCTTTTCAAGCATGATGTCCTTCTCCAAAGACTTTCCCTTCCTAATAACATGCCAAAAATATGTGAGATGGCGTTTCACCATCCTTGCCTCCAAGGAGCACCCTGGTTGGACTTTGTTCGCAACAGACCTCTTTGTTCTCTTGGCAATCCATGGGATGTTCAGTACTCTTCTCCAACATCACAACTCAAAGGCATCTTTTCTTCTACTGTCATCTTTAGTCATTGGCCAACTTTCAGGTGTGCAGGAACAATTGAGAAGACCGTGGCTAAGTTGAGGCACACCTGGGTCTATAAACTGACATCACTGCTCTTTAGTGCTCTAGAAAGGTCCCTGACAGTGATTTTCCCCAGTGTGACACATCTTTAGATTTCTTGGCTGCTGATACCAACGGTGTTGGCTGTGGATCTAAGTAAGATGAAATTGTCGACAGTTTCAATCTTTATTCCATCTATCGTGGTGATGCCCATTGGCATGGTGTCAGGATTTTTGTCTTCTTGATGTTGAGATGTAATCCATTTGAAGGCAATAGTTCTTGATTTCCTGCAGCAAGAACTTCAAATCCTCCTCACTTTCAGCAAAAAAGTTACATAATATCTGCATAATGCGGGTTCTTTTTTTTTTTTTTTCATACTCTAAACATTATTTAATTAGGTCTACAATAATCTAGAAAACCAATTTGTGAGGATAAACCCCATTGGTGAGGGAGAATAAAGAACGCAGGTAGCTTTTGAGCTGAGGAACGGCTTTGATTTTGGGTAAGATCTGGGAGTCCACAGCTTTCTGGTCAATCTTGCGCTGCTCTGTAATCTCGTATTTCTCCTTTTCTGTGTCGAAGATCTCGCCCTCCTGGTGGCGCGGCTTGCACAGCTTCTTCTTCTTAAAGTAAGCATCAGTGAGGTGCTTTGGTATTTTGACACCACTGATGTCAACTTTTGTGGAGGTGGCAATGACAAATTTCTGGTGTGCTCTCCGCAGAGGAACACGATTGAGGGTCAGAGGCCCGGTCACAAGGAGCAAACCACTCTCCAGCTGCTTCAGGAAAACCACTCTCTTGCCCCGGTGGCGCCCTGTGAGGATGATAAGGATGGTCCCAGGGGTGATGCTTGCACGCAGCCTCCTCACGTGCTGACTGAAGGGCTTCTTGCCGTGGTTCAGCAGCTTCCGAGGCAATAATGCAGGTTCTTAATGAGTCTTCTTCTGAACCTGATGCTACATTTTTCTTCATAAAGTCCAGTTTCTCAGATGGTTCATATTATTCCCATTCCCAAAAAAGATGATCCAACAGAATATAGAAATTTTGAAAAAATAACATTTATATCACATGCAAGCAAAATATTACTGAAGATTATTTAAAAATTGCTAAAACAGTACATCAACAGAGAACTACCAGAAATACAAGCTGTGTTTAAAGAGGCCTTGACACCAAGGATATCACTGCTGATGTCAGATGGATCTTGGCAGAAAGCAGAGTATACCAAAAGGATGACTATCTGTGTCTTAGGGACTATACAAAGGTATTTGACTATGTGGATCATAACAAATCATGACAAACATTGAGAAGAATGGAAATTCCAGAACATTTAATTGTGCTCATGGGAAACCTATACCAAGAGGCTCTTGTCCAAACAGCAAGGGAACACGCCATGATTTAAAATCAAGAAAGATGTGCATCAGGCTTGTATCCATTCTTCATTGCTATTCAGTCTGTATTGGCCTGAGGAATTTGAAATGTCTGCCTCCAGGGGAAGGAGAGATGTTTGCTATGAACCATGTCGAAGAGGTTTTCTAGAAATTCCCAGGCACCCTCTCACATGTACTTGGTCTTCCCGTGTTACCTTAACCCTTCTGAAAGAAATTTGAGTCGAAGACCACCTCATCCCTACCTTACCAGTCTTTACTTTTAATCTGCGTTCATCTGATGCTTGCTTCCAAGGAGTAACTTTTCCTACACCAAAAGCTGTTGCAGTTTAATCTCAATTCAACCATTTCATCTTACCGTGTGTGTTCTCCAAAGCACTGGCTCTCAAAGTGTGGGCTCAGAACCAGCAGCCTCACCATTTGCCCTCCCTCAGCATGTTGAAATGCCAGTTCTCAGACCCCGCCCAGATCCACTAATTCAGAAATTCTGGAGAGGGGCCCAGCAAATTGGCATTTCACTGGCTGTCACAGGGATCCTGAGAACCACTGGTTTAGAAGAAGTAAGTGTTTGCAGATTTCCCAAAAACATGAACCACAGACAGTCTGATCCACTTTCAATTGAGACCCCAAAACATGATTGCACTGCTGGTGGGAAGGACCAGGTACTTAGATCTACTTATAAGGAAACCAACCTGCCCCCTTTGCTGGGGAAATTAAAATGGGAGTTGGAGCCAACATCTGTGATCTTCACCATCCTGAGAATAAACAGCCAGAGTTTTCTTTACTTCTGTGAGGAAAGTGCCTGTGGCCAAGGGTGAGCTCCATGGCTCACAACACCCCCATTCCCCTACTGTTCAGCTCCAGAACATTCTCGGAGGTCCCTGGCTTTCCCATTTAAGGAGGAAGAATCTTAACAAGTAGTTTTCAGCTGCGTTTGGGTGCCAGGTCTCTGGTAGCCCCAAGGTTCTCTGGCTACAGCTCAACTCAGACCTGACAGGGCACATAGGGAAAGTGTTATTTCAGCTCTCCCTGGTTCCTTTTTGTATGCCACTACTATCTATTTATGAGACTGTTGTTCTTGATATGTGCCATCGAGTCACTTGGGACTCACAGCGACTCTGTATACAACAGCTCTATACCCTGCTCTATCCTGTGCCAACCTTATTATCTTTGACACACCTACCCCCATTAACCCAGTCACTGAATCAATCCATGTCATCTAGGGTCTTCCTCTCTTGAGCTGTCCCTCCACCCTCCCTAGCATGACGTCCCTCTCCAGGCACTGGTCCCTCTTTGCAGCCTATCTAAAGTATGTCAGACAGAGCTTCAGAATTCAGCTCCATGTATGAGACTAGATCTAGCTTTATAATAGAATTGAAAATCAGGAGGAAACAATGAACAAAGGTACAGTTCCTTATTGTTTTCTTATTTTTTACTAATTTCAGGGCACAGGTAGAGATGAGGTTCTTGGGTAAGACGTGTAACCTGGGCTTCCTCCCCTTCTTCTTTTCAGTGGCGTTTTAACTTCAGCCATTTTGAGGTGGAGCCTGGCGAGAATTATGAGGTGACTGTTCACCACCTGCCCAAGCCCATCCCTTATGGGGACCCCAACCACCAGTCTATCAACGTCTCTGTGCCTGGTAAGAGAAGGTCCTCCCATGTCACCCATTCACCACTCCACTTCATGAAGCCTGTCTGCTCAGACGTCAGCCTCCTTCTCAACCAGACACTGGTCGCCATGTCAGCCTGTGGTGCCCAGGGGACAGACACACGGGGAGTTCTTGGTATATTACCAGCACCTGAGCTTCATGGAAGCAGAGCCCAGTGCCTGTTGACACTAACACTGCATACAAGCCCCAAACCCTAGGAGACTATGGGGGGAGAAGAACTGTAACCCCTGCTCCTAGCCAGTCACGGCCTCCAGTGTCTTGTTCTTAACTTTGGCCTCAGATCCTACCTGTGTTTCTCTTAACACCCTCCCTGCAGAAGAGGAGTGATGACAGCATAGAACTGCCCCAGAGGGTTTCTAAGGCAGCAGTATTTATGGCAGCAGACTGCTTCGTCTTCCTCCCTGAGGTTATCTTGTGGGTTCAAACCTCTGGCATCTTGGTTGGCAGCTGAACACTTAATTGCCCAGCCTTTCCGGCTCCGTCATCACTGGTCTAAACCAAAGCCACTGTTGTTGAGTTAATTCTGATCCATGACAGTCCCCCATCAGGTTTCTGAGGCTGTAAATCAGAACAGATTACCTCACCATCTTTTTTCTTTGGAGTGGCCAGTGGGCTCCAGTCTCCTGCTATGCCACCTTCATCTTTGATCAGGCCTCTCCAAAAGGAAAAAAAATGTGATATTCCTGGTGTTGGGTGTGTGGAAGACTCATCGTGCAAGGCAGCGGCTTGATGGTTTCTTTTTTCTGGTCTGGCAGGCTGCGAAGACCCCAGGATGCGGATCACCACACCGTGTGTGAGCTTAGGTAATTGCTGCCGACCGGCCCTGCGGAGGTGCAGGAAGTACTAGATACACACACGTGTCAACCCACACAAACTCACGCATCCACACACATGCCCAGCTGTGCTTGGGAACACGGGCATGCACGCACATATTCACAACACACACTACTTCTCCTGGGAGTACACACTCAGCCTCACTTTGGTCTGTGTCTCTGTCCCCTTCAGGCAGCCTGTGGAATCCCAATATCACAATGGAGAAACTGGAGAAGCACCAGCTGTTGGTCAGCTTCACCCTGTGGGGTGAATCCAGCAGCTATCAGATCCTCCTGGACAGCTTTCCAGACAAAGAGAACCAGGCCTGCTTTCACCACAGACTGTTTATTTCCCCGGTAACTAACTGCTACTTTTTTATTCCCTCTCCCATAGCTCAAAAGCACCAATTCAAGCTGGGAATCTCCTCTCTACTGGTCCCGACAAAACTGTGTAGCTAAAAACTGAGTTTAGCCAGTGCTTGCTCACTGTCACCAAGTCATTTACGACTCACGTCAATCCTTCATCAGGCTTTCAAGGCTGTAGATGATTCCAGGAGGAGCCTGCCAGTCGTCCTCCTGTGGAGCACCTGGTGGATTCAAATCACGGGCCTTTTGTTTGACAGCCTAACACAAAATGCATTACACCACCGGGGCTCCTCATCCATTGCTGAGCCAGTCGTTATTCTGGGCTGATTGGCTCCTTTCCTTTTCTTTGATCTGTGGTTGATAGACTTGCTACCCTGTACTTCCCATCCCCACCCCTTTGCCCTCCTTCCCTAAGCTCTCCCCTGTGTTCTCGTTCAGTTTTATTTATTTTCCCCCAAAAGGGATTTGAGGATGCAAGGAAAATTGTAGAAATCAAGACAAAGGGAGAATAAAGATGAGTAAAATAAGAGGAAGCCAGGGATAGGGTTGGTGCAGAAAATGCATGTCATCCTGTTCTATGCAGCTACAGATTACTCCATGATTCCCAGCAGCCAAAGCAAAGAGGGGGAAACCTGTTACAAGATATGTTTCTGAGTTAACAACCAAGCAGCTGCCCGGGAGAAGTGTTTGGGTTTTGTTTTATGTCCTGGAAAGCATGCCCCCCTTTATAAAAGGGGCACCAGGCACAGGAGTTTAACAAGATCTTACTCAACTAATCTTGCTCACTGCCTTCTTTCTCTTAAGCCCCCATCAGAGAATTTCCACCAGCGGTATAACATCACGCTTCCCCTAAGCAAATTTAACTGGTGTTGCTGCCATCAAGTGAAGGTGAGTGAGTGTGATGTGGGTGTGGAACACGTGGACCCCTTGCCGCTCATGTTTGATGGACAGGGGAGGGCAGCTCATGGTCCTGTGCTTCAAGGCCCAGCACTGTGCTATATGGGTCCACATCTAACAGTGCACCGTCCTAGCCTTTCTCCGGCCCCATTCTCCCAGCTTCACCTGGGACAAGTCCTTTCACTTCCTGTCCCAGAGGGATGAGCAGAATGAGCCCTTGATGAGGAGATTGTGGATTAGCCACCCAGGACCCTGGGAGAGAGTCCCATATCCCCAACATCTCAGGTCCCTCTCTTCCCTACTCTGTCTGCTCTTGCAGATCCAGCCTTTCTTCAGCAGCTGTCAGAACGACTGTATCAGACATCTGGTGAACATGAGCTGCCCAGAAGTTCTACCTCTTCCAGGTAGGAGGGGTATCATGGCTGTCCGGGATATATTTGTGGATGACAATGGATGAAAATTGATAGCTTGAACTCAATTTTGACCTTGTTCTAAGGGGGGCGGGGGGTTAATTTAACTTGGCGCTATTTAGGGCTGAGGAATAATGTGGGGTTTTACAATCATAATGACCTGGGTGAGAATATTGACTGCCTTCTGTGACTGTGTAACCTTTACTTAACCTTTCTCAATCTTAATTTCCTTAACTAGAAAATAGAGATTCTTATTATCGCTGAGTTAGTGTAGTTACTGGAGTCCAGGCACTGAAAGTGAACATATGCAACTGCTAAGTGAGAGGTTGGAGGTTCAGCAGCGCCCCTCCACTGCCCCCCGCCAGAGGTGCCTCAGCAGAAAAGCCTGGTAGTCTGCTTCTGCAGAATCGGCCCTTGAAGGCTCCCGGGAGCACAGTGCTGCCAGTGCTGCTCGGCCACACAGGGGAGCCAGGCTGCGTCAGAGGCGACTCCAGGGCAGCTGGGCTGGCTTTATGATGTTGCCGCCAAGTGACCCCCCAGTGTTACAGAATAAAATGGCTCCTCAGGGTTTTCTTGGCTACAGTCTTTACAGATGTCACTTGCTAGGCCTTTCTTCTGTGGTGCTGCTGGGCGGATTTGAATTGCCAGTCTTTAGGTTGGTAGTCAGACCCAGTGCATGCACAACACGAAGGAATCTTTCTGGTTCTTAAAACAAACCCACTGCTGTCAAGTCGATTCTGACTCATGACAAAGCTCGATTGGATTTCCAAGGCTTCTATATAGGAGACAACCTCCTCTTTCTCCCATAGAGTAATTGGTGGATTTGAACCACTGGCCTTTTGGTTAGTAGATCAGTACAACACACTGTGCTACTGAGGTTCCTTTCTGGTCAATTCTGACTCATGGCAAACCTTCCATCAGGTTTATATAAGTCCTTACAGGAGGAGAGTGGTCCTATTTCTCCTGCAGAGTGACTGGTGAATTCAAACTGCCAGTCTTTCAGTTAACAGCCCAACCCATAAGCCACCAAGCCTCCTTTCTGGTGATCTTTAAATAGCTGTTAGGTCCTGTGTACTGGAAGAGGTGCTTTAGCTTGTTGTCCTAACTTTAATCTTCACAAATTATGAGTCACAACGATATTGAGATGTAAAGATTCCAGTTACCACTCCCCTAGTTTAGTACATGAGGGAACCAAGGCACAGAGAAATTAACTAACTTGTCCCAGATCCCACACCAAGGAGACGGCAGAGCCCAGTTCCCACTGAGCCTGTGAGACTCGGCTCATTCCCACCTCCTGTGCTGCCCTCAGATTCTTGATCAGAAGCTGTTATCCACAGCCTGACATGAAGCTCAGTGCTGATAAGAAAGCAACAGGTGTTGCCAAAGCCTGGAAGAGACGCTTAATCCCCCATGTGGGAGGCCAGACATTTCATTAAATCAACAACGGAAGGGGTTTCCTGTGGCTCATTTCATTAACTTTAATCCTTATCTAAAGTGCTTGGTGCAGTGCCAAGGGCACAAGTGGGCTCTCAGTGAATGTCAGAGATGGGGTTTTGTGATGACTACACATAATTAAGAATACACTTTTCTCTTTGTTTCCATTGCAGGCGTGGTTGCAGGTAAACCCAGATCTTCTCCCCAAAGAGCTGCAAGAGCCCTGGGGACAGTGTCCAGGGTCACACACAAGGAATCCCTGGCTGTGCCTTGCACAGAACTGAGCACACAGGGCTGACCTGAGATGCAGTCTAGGAATGGGAATCTTACTCTCAAGGGAAGCAGGAATTCACTTCAGAGGATTGGTTCCTGCAACTGCATGGTCTGAAAAAATCCAAAATCCATAGGTTAGGCATGGGCTGGAAACTTGTGCTGACTCCCAGCTAGAAGAGTGTTGTTGAGAGAGAGTGCACAGATTCTGTCACAGTAGCTATTTGGGTTTAAAGTCAGACCACACACTGAAGAGCTCCCCTTTAAATACATTAATTACATTACACTTGGTTGCATTATGGAAGGTGATCATATAACAGTGCATTTGATTGCATTATGGAAACAGGAGACATAGCCTACTCAAGTTGATACCTGCCATTAACCAGCCTGGTGTTGTGGTGAGACTTGGAGAGGACAGAGCCCAGGGTGGAGGGGTGAAGCCAGGTAACTGTGGGGCCAGCATACCAGGGCCGTCCTGTCTCCCTGTTCACACTGTTCTCCTCACACAGACTACATGCCCCTGTGGGCGTATGGGCTCATCACAGGTATTGCCATCCTGATGGTGAGCTCTGTCATCCTGTTCATCGTCTGCATGACTTGGAGAATGCCTGGTAAGGAACAGAAGCATGTGGGAGGCCTGGGCATCTGCATGCTGGGCTTTCTGCTTCTGCTTTCTTCCTTCGGCCCTCTTTCATCTTTTCCCTCCAGTCTCACAGGAGGACCTTCTCTGGAAGGCTCTGGTCAGAGGGTGCCTGCACTCACAGCCTTTTTATCTCAAATTAAGTGTCAGTGTTGCCTCTCTTGTGCCACCTTAAGTTCAGTTGTCAAGAGCCCAGAACCTGGAATTGACCTGGCCTCAAATACCAGATCCACCACTTAGTACCTGGGCAATGACTTTGTCCTCAGAGCCTCTTTTATAAGGTGGAAATTATATTCATATCATCAAACTGTCATAAGGATTTGAGTTATTGAGGTTTGTGGATTCTAATCCTAGAGCCTGACACATCATGTTTGCCCAATATCTGTTAGCTGTGATTATATTAATTGTCGTTACAAAGAATATTAAAAACCAACATGTTAGGGAGCCAAGATGGAATTTCCTTTCACCAGAAATGACCAACCATATAGCAATTTTAAGACACAGAAGCATCCCAATTTCAGAGATCTTAAAATATGGAAAAGGAATGTGTATCTTAGAACCTAAAAAACTGAATAGATTGCAACTAGAAAGCTAATAAAGTGAAAAGAATGTTGTAGAAGAGTATGTATAGCATGGCATACCCCTTGCATATTTTTAAATTATTGCATATACTTATAAGAAAGCCTGGAAGAATGTCCACATTAGTTTGTTTTATTTTGTTTTATAATTTTTTGATTGTGATTTTAATGAAAGTTTACAGAACACTTGGATTCCCATTCATTCGTTGTTGCACATTTTCCTCCCTACTCACCCCCTAATTTGCTTTTCTCTTTAAAAAAATTCATTCATTGTTGCACAGTTTCCTCTCCTTCCCACCCCAGTCCACCTTGCTGTGCACCTCTTATTCTGGACTGTTGTCATGCAAGTAATACCTAATCGTATATTCTTTTTAAAAATTTTCCAAAAAAAAAAAAAAAATTTCCCTTATTTGTTCCAATGCAGTCTTCATTATTTACTCCTTTTCTTAGTTTCCCCCAACCCCCAGTGTCAGTCCTGTTTTCTAACAGTGGCATTATGCAATATTTGTCCTTTTTGTGACTGAGATATTTCACTCAGCATAATGTCCTCCAGAGTCATCCATTTTGTGTAATATTAATTCCTTGTTTTTCAGTGCTGTGTGAATTTCCATTGTGTGAATATACCACAGCTTCTCTATCCATTTTTTTGTTGATAGGCACTTGGGTTGCTTCCATCTCTTTGCTTTTGTGAACAATGCAGCAATAAACATGGGTGTGCATACATCTGTTTGGGTGTCAGTTCTGTTTTCTTTAGGGTATATTCCCAATAGTGGAATTGCTGGGTCAAATGGTATTTCTGTTTCCAGCTTTTTGAGAAAGTGCCATAGTGCCTTCCGTAGGGGTTAGATCATTTTACACTCCTACCAACAGTGAATAAGGATTCCAATTTCTCCACAACCTCACCAGCATTTGTTGTTTGCTGCTCTGCTGAACTTTGCTGTTGTTACTGGTTACTGGAGTGAGATGATATCTCATAGTTGTTTTGAATCAATGTCCACTTTGTTAACAGTGTTCACCTCTGTGAAGTTGGGTTGACTGAGGGAGAGGTAGGCATGGAAGGGAGACTCTAATGTCTTTTTGCCATTTTCTAAGATAAAATTTTTTGCATTAAAAAAAAAATCAAGGGTGCCCCTTTGAACCCTGGTTCTGTCACAACTAGGTATTCTATATGGGCAAGTTACTAGTATCTCTGGAACTCAGTTTCTCCCTCTGTAGTAGGTGTCTTGAGGGTGTTGAGAAAGAGCAGTGTGAACAGCTCCATCCTGAAGCCCCAGCCTCACATGCAGGGAGAGTAGCAGAAGAATATTCAGGCTGTAAAACCTGAGCGTGTGGACATGGATCTGACTTGACCTCACTGGCCTTGTAGTCATGAACAAATGACTTCACAAACTCCGATTCCTTTTCTTTTCTGTAAAATGTAAAATATCTCTTTCTTTCCGTTACATCCATCTGCAAAGTTCTAAGCAGTGGAGAACGTGGGTCTCCGTTTAGGGGTTCAGCTTTCCCTGCCTTCTTCATGACCTTGGGCTGTTGCTTCAGTGATCTTGAGATGTTTGTGCCACACGTAGCAAATAAGAGGCTTGTCACTACTAGGTACGGAGACACTGCTTAATTATTACCTTTGTGTGGTGGAAAGAAGGCTACTCCAGGCGTGAGAACGTCTTGGTTTTAGACTTTTAGACCTTCTCCAGAAGGTCACTGGGCGGGCCACCTAAGACATGCCTGCCCATACTTCAGAAAGTATGACGTTCTCTCCAGACATTAGCACAGAGGCATTTTGTTCTGTTCCCACTGTTACCCTTTCTTGAAGCAGGTTGAGTTAAAGGACAAGGAAGACACTTCAGTAGTTAGGTGAATGTCTTTAGTAGTTATGCAAATGTCTTTTTCCAGGGTCCAAAGGGTAGGGACTAACATGAAGGTTCTAAATCTCTTGTTTGGGCCTCTGCAGGCTTTTGTGTCTGCTGCTGTGTCACAGTGTGTTTCCTTACATCTCTGAGGCAAACCGTTGCTTAACATGTTGGTTTCCCTTCCTCACCTCAAAAATAGCCAGAGGAAATGTTGTAAGAGGTCCCAGTGGGGGCTCCTTCTGCCTTCTGATGTTCAGTGTTGTAAGCTTCCTGCACAGCACTTGTGGGGAAAGGCTTTCCTCAGCTGGGTGGTCTGCTGTGGTGGGATGAGCGGCCAGACTGTGGAGGGGCAGCAGCTCACACCGTCTGACTAGGGGCCGAGGAGTCACACCAGTGATATCCTAGCTGGTCCCAGCAGGGTCAGTTCTTGAACTGCCTCCAGTGGTTGAGCATGTGTACCACATACAGCTGCATTTCATCCTGCTCACAAAGCCCATTTTACAGAGGACCTGTTTGAAGTCTCAGTGGCATTAGTCATCTCCCCAGATCACCATGAGAGGTGGCATAACCAAGGTTGACACCTGGGTCCTTGGGTCCTACACAGCACAGTCTCCCCACAGAGACCCAGCAGTGCCGCCTATCTTGTGCCCTTTGTCAGGGCAAGGGTACCCTCAATAAACAAACCCTGTCTCTGTAAACTGGGTCCTGAACTGCTTTCATGTACTTCTTTTCCTTTCAGGGTCTCATGGAAAATGTGATGATAACACCAAGTATATTGGTACGTATTTCTTTGGCTTGAGTGGACTTATTTCTGTGTGCTTTGGTTTCTAAAGGAGTAGTCGAGTGTCCTTTTGGGATTAACAGGTGAGTTACTCTCTGGATTTTTATTCCTAAATCCCTCAAGGGACATCACTTTTGGAAGAACCCCTTCTACCTCCCCATGCAGTGGTATTTCAGGACACTTCAAATATCTAGCATTGGAATAGCTTTTTAAATCTCCTACACAGGGAAAGGCTCTGGTGGCCTAGTGGTAAGAAGCTGCACTGTAAAATCCCAAAGCATCATGGTTCAAATATACCAGCTGTTCTGTGGGAGGAAGATGGGCAGTCTCCTCCCATGCAATTAACTGCTTCTGAAAACTTGCTAGAGGGTCAGCTGTGGGTCGGTTCCAACTTGATGGTACACAACAACAAGCAGGGAAAGGAATATATGTTGTTGTTGCTGAGTACTGTCTGTTAAGCATTGTTAGGTACCATCGGGTCAGAGCTGACCCTCCAGCAGGTTTACAGAGGCAGTAAATCACATGAGAGGAGATCGCCTGTCTTTCTTCCGTGGAGTAGCTGGTGGATTTGAATAGCATGCCTTTGGGTTAGCAATGTAACTCTTTACCACAGAGCTCCCAGAGTGTGGACAAGTCTACTCCTAATTTACAGAGACAGAGTGGAGCTGCTCCATGGGGTTTACAAAACTACTTTTTTTTCCTCCTCTTTTTTTTATCGTTATTAATTTTAATGAAAAACTACAGAGACATTGGATTTCCATTCATTCATTGTTGTACTTTTCTCCCTGCCCACTCCTCCCCACAGTTCGCTTTTCTCTTTGAAAAGTAAAAGAAAAATTCTTTCATTGTTATACAGTCCCTCCCCTCAAGTCCATTCCACTATGCAGCCTTTGTTCTGGACTCCTGTCATGACAATAGTACCTACTCACATATCCCTGAGCAGACCACCAGGTCTTTCTCCCACTGGTTTGAGCCGCTGGTGGGCTTAAACCACCAACCCTCCAACTATGCTTTCCCATTACACCACCAGGACTCCTTAAATGATACCAAAAGTCAGGTCCAACCCACTGCTATTGATTCTAATTCACAGTGACCCGCCATTGGGTTTCTGAGACTGTTAATTTTCACAGGAGGAAAGTGACCATCTTTCTCCCTGGCCTGGGAGTGAGTGACTGGTGATCTGAACCCTCGACCTTTTCATTAGTGGCCCAGTACATAATGAACAGGGCCTCCAGGGCTCCTTTGAAGGATGATGCATGCACCACATTTTTGGAAAATAAGATCCTCTATGTAGCAGATGTAGCTGTTCCATAGCAGACTTTTTTGCCTTTAAGTTAAAATTTTTAAAAATACAGGCTAAATGCCAGATAGGAATGACTGAGGGAGATTCTTTTTTCCAGAAGACATCTGACTTTGATTTTTCAAGGAGCCAAAACAAAGTAAACTGGCAATATTTAACTTATCCCAAAGAGTCTTATGAAGTGCTGGTGGTGAAGTTGATAGGGAGTTGATTTGAGTGTGGCTTCTGTAAACCCAGAAGCCACACCTCTCTGGAAGCTGGAATCTACCATGATTGGTTCTGTGAGGGCAGTCACCTGTGCAACTTAACAGCCTCAGAAACACAAAAGAGGATCAACTGTGAGTCAGTTTCAACTCAGGCAATGAGTTCAAAAGGCCGCCATTGTATTTCTTAGGCTGTAAAACCAGGTTCTGCATTCCTGTGGTCCAGCTGGCCAGCAGGGACCTGCTTCCGGCCTGAGTGTGAGAATGAAGAGAAATTCCCTCTTGAATTTGGCTTCCTTGTTCCCCTCAGATATCCCACGCCCAGCTGCCCTGAGACCCCCATCCCTGAAGCCGAGGAAGGTCTGGATCATCTACTCGGCCGACCACCCCCTCTATGTGGAAGTGGTTCTGAAGTTCACCCAGTTCCTGCTCACTGTCTGTGGCACTGAGGTGGCCCTCGACCTCCTGGAGGAACAGGTCATCTCTGAGGTGGGAGTCATGACCTGGGTGGGCCGCCAGAAGCAAGAAATGGTGGAAAGCAACTCCAAAATCCTCATCCTGTGCTCCCGAGGCACCAGGGCCAAGTGGCAGGCCATCCTCGGCTGGGAGGAGCCTGCCCTCCAGCTGCGGTGTGACCACTGTAAGCCTCCTGGAGACCTTTTCACTGCGGCCATGAACATGATCCTGCCAGACTTCAAGAAGCCAGCCTGCTTTGGCACCTACATCGTCTGCTACTTCAGTGACATCAGCAGCGAAGAGGATATCCCTGATGTCTTCAACATCACTTCCAGGTACCGACTCATGGACAAATTTGAGGAGGTTTACTTCCGCATCCAAGACCTGGAGATGTTTGAACCCGGCCAGATGCACCGTGTTGGGGAGCTGATGGGGGAAAACTATCTCCAGAGCCCCAGTGGCGGGCTGCTCAAGAAAGCCCTGGACAGGTTCCGGGAGTATCAGACCCAGTGCCCCGACTGGTTTGAGCATGAGAACCTTTGCTTGGCTGATGATCAGGACCTGCCATCCTTGGATGAAGAGGTGTTTGAGGAGCCACTGCTGCCAGCAGAAAGAGGGATCGTGAAGCAGAAGCCCCTGGTGCGAGAGCCTGGCTCCGCAGACTGTCTAGTGGTAGATCTGCTCATCAATAAGGAAAGAGGAATCTCAAGGCTTGAACCTCAGCTGCAGCCCCAAGAGGAGCTGGCAGCCCAGACCCTCAAGACCACGGTGCTCCCAGCGGAGAGGGTCCCTCCCGTTCAAGTAGTGCAGCCCATGCTGCCTGCTGCAGGCAGCAGCACAGCCTTCCGACTGGCCGTGATGGAGGGAGGCGAGGCCTGCCCATTGTTGGAGGCCCCCGGCACACAGCGGAATGATGTCCTCTTCCTCCCTGTGGATCCAGAGGCCTTGCCTCTCTGCAGCACCCCCATGGCATCTCCTGACCACCTCCCAGATGATGTAAGGGAGCAGCTCAAAGGCTTAATGTTCTCACTTTTCCACCAGAGTCTGAGCGGCCCGATGCAGGAGGACCTCAAAGACTCCCACATGCCCTACGAGGAGGAGCAGAGGCAGTCAGTGCAGTCCGACCAAGGCTACATCTCCAGAAGCTCACCACAGCCCCCTGATGGACTCACAGAAATGGAGGAGGACGAGGAAGAAGAAGAGCAAGACCTCAGGAAGTCTGCCGAGGAACTCTCCCCTGAGGACCTGGAGAACCTCAGGAGCCTCCAGCACCAGCTCTTCTTCCAAGATCTTCAGAAGAGCTCTGGCTGGGACAGTATGGAGCTGGAGAGGCTACCTGGAGCATGGCAGGAGTCCTTGTAGTGGTCTCCAGAACTCAGAACCTTGAGAGAATGCAGTGGATGTGAATATGTGTATATATGTGTACATGTCTATAGGAGGGTGTGTGTGTGTGTGTGTGTGTACACGCGCATGTATAAAGTGTATATCTTTGAAATATAAACACTTGATTCTGATCCCTGGGCATACCCGCCACCTTGGCTCTTTTTAAAAAAATAGATTTATATTGTGATTTTTAACAAAATTTTAAAAAACACTTGGATTTCCATTCATTCATTGTTGCACATTTTCCTCCCTACCCCCTCCCCTGTTTGCTTTTCTCTATAAAAAATTCATTCATTGGGAAGCTCTGGGGGCCTAGTGGCAAGGAGCTGCCCTACAGTCCCGAAGGCATGCAATTCAAATCCACCAGATGCTCTGCTGGAGAAGGAGAGGCAAGTTTGCCCTGTGCCAGTCAGATCCAATTAGATAGTACACACAAGGGGGAAAAAATTTTTTTTTAATTTCATTAATTGTTGCACAGTTACCTCCCTCTCTCCCACCCCAGTCCACTTTGCTGTGCACCTCTTATTCTGGACTGTTGTCATGCAAATACCTACTCATATATTCCTTGTAAACATTCTTTCCCTCATCTGTTCCAATGCAGTGTTCATTATTTACCCCCTCTTCTCTTAGGTCCCCCTAACCTCCAGTGACAGTCCTGTTTTAGAACAGTGGTATTATGCAGTATATGTCCTTTTGTGACTGAGATATTTCATTCGGGATAATGTCCTCCAAGGTCACACATTTTGTATAATATTATATTAGTTTTCTTGGTTTTCAGTGCTGCGTATTATTCCATTGTGTGAATATACCACCGCTTCTCTATCCGTTTGTTGATGGGCACTTGGGTTGCTTCCATCTCTTTGCTATTGTGAACAACGCAGCAGTAAACATGGTTGTGTATACATCTGTTTGAGTGGCAGTTCTGTTTTCTTTAGGGTATATTCCCAATAATGGAATTGCTGGGTCAAATGATACTTCTATTTCCAACTTTTTGAGAAAGTGCCATACTGCCTTCCATAGGGGTTAGATCATTTTATACTCCCACCAACAGTGAATAAGGGTTCCAGTTTCTCCACAACCTCACCAGCATTTGTTGTTTGCTGCTCTGTTGAACTTTGCTATTGTTACTGGGGTAAGATGGTATCTCATAGTTGTTTTTATTTGCATTTCTCTTAGACCTAGGAATTTTGAACATTTCTTCATGTGTTTGTTCACTATCTGAATGTCATCTTTGGTGAAGTGTCTGTTCATATTCTGTGCCCATTTTGTGGTTAGATTGTTTATCTTGTTGAGGTGCCAGAGTATAAATTCTAGGTATAAGTTCCTTATCAGACATGTCATTACCAAATATTTTTTTTTCTCAGTCTGTGGCTTCCCTTTTTACCCTGTTGAAGTTTTTTTGATGTGCATAGGGATTTGATTCTTAGAAGGTCCCATTCATCTATTTTATTCTCTCCTGGTTGTAGGTCCTTGGCTCTTTTTAAATAAGGCCATCTCTTCATCTTTCATCCCACAGGAGCTAAGCCAATTTCTGAAAGTTAGTAGCAGAATCTCTCCTTAAGTTTTCCTCATTTGTTCCTTCATTGATTCATTCAGTCTTTATCTGGCACCTGCTGTACCAGACTAGGCACTCTCGTGGTGTCGTGTATTGGGTGCTTTGCTACTAACTGAAAGGCCTCTCATTTTAATCCATTAGGTGTTCCTTAGGAGAAAGATTAGCAGTTTCTTCCCAAAAAAAGATTTACAGCCTTGGCAATCAGAATGCATCAGAATTGACTCCACAGCAGTAAGGGGTATGAGTGCATGTATGCACATGCTGATGGCACAGTGATTAAAGCACGTGTCTGCTGACCATAAGGTTAACAGTTTGAAACCACAAGCTCCTGTGTGGGAGAGAAGTGTGGCAGGTTGCTTCTGTAAAGGTTACAGACTTGGAAACCCTGTGAGTCAGTTCTCCTGTGGGTTGCTATGAGTCAGATCAATTAAATAACAGTGAGGTTTTTGGATGCACCAAACATCTGAGGTGCAAAGATAAATTGCAAATGGCATGACCTCTGCCACTGAGGAGCTTAGCATGTAGTGAGAGGAGCTGATTAGCCAACGGATAACTATCATACAAGATACAAAGGCTGGATAGAAACTTGCCCCACACCAAAACCCATCTAAACCAGATGCTGAAGTTAGTTCCAAGTCATGGCAACCTCAGTGTCATAGAGCAGAATAGGATGTTCATGGCTGTGACCTTCCAAGGTGCAGATTGCAAGCCTTTGCTCCAAGGTATCTCACAAAAATAAACAATCCTCCCAACCTCAAATTCATTAGTATCTAGTCAGAACTGACTCATAATGCACCCTCCATTTTCCAGGCTGAAAATCACACAGGAGATAGTCCATCTTTCTTCCATGGAGCATTTGGTGGATTCAGACCACTGGAGAGGGCAGTCTTTGTGTTAGCAGCCCACCTCCCTGCAGACTACACCACCAGAGCTCCCCAAAGTGTCCCTGGGTAGATTTAGACTTCCATCCTTGCTGTTAGCAGTGAAGCGTTAACTGATTTCCCTCCGACTCTGAAGCTGCCTCCTGCTACCACCAACCATTCAGTGCCAACGAGTTGATTCCAACTCCCAGGAGCTCCAGCAGAACTGCCCTTCAGGTTTCAGAGGCCGTAAGTCTTTGCATGAGCACACTTCCTCATCTTTCTCCTACAAAGCAATGATGGGTTCAAACCAATGACCTTTCATTTAGCAGCCCAGTGCTGAATCCATCACACCATCAGGGTTCATTCAAAGCTTGCCACACAGTGAAATACATAGATGAGACAGCTAACCCCGTGAGGGATTTCTGGAGGAAGATTGCAAGCTAGTCTGGGTGGCTCTAGCATGGAATAGGGATGGGAAGTGAGGAGAGAGGTAAGTAGGACCAGGGCGGGGACAAGCCTGTAGGCCAGGTAAGGAGTTGAGACATCAGCCCCCACCCCTGCGCCAAGGTTTAGGACTCTAATATAATGAGCTGTGCTCTACAGAGGAGAAGAGAAATTGCTGGGACTCAGGCATATCCAGAAGCCTCCTCAGGTTAGTCTTTAAAGAAATGCAGCATAGAAATATGTGCTAAGTGAAACTTAACAGGATTCAACAGGGAGAGAGACCTGGGTTTCTCACTCACATTGGCAGTCAGTTGGTGGGAGAGCCGTAGCAGGGGGGGCATCCTGTGCCGCCTGACTCGACCCTTCCTGTAGCTCTCCTGAGCTTGGAAGCACTGGAAACGGAGAGCCTTTGGCAAGGACAAGGCAGGTTAAGGGATCTGGTATGGAAGGCGACATGTTACACTGGGAGCAGGAAGGGCTCTGAAAGTCCAGGTGGACCCTGTTCAGGAAGAGGAAAGCAACCACTCAGTACTTGATGTTTTAGAATGTCCCATTTATTGATGTTATCCTCTTCTGGTTCTGCATTTCTGGCTTTATTTGCAAGCTTTTTTATACCATTATCCAGGATTTTTTGTGTGTGGGGGGTTATTATTATTAATTTTAATGAAAGTTTACAGAGACTCTGGGTTTCCATCATTCATTGTTGCACTTTCCCCCTGCCCACCCCTCCCTCCGCCCAGTTCACTCTTCGCTCTAAAAAGTAAAAGAAAAATTCTTGCATTGTTAAACAATCCCTCCCCCCAAGTCCACTCCACTGTGCAGCCTTCGTTCTGGAAACCTGTCATGACAATAATACCTAATCATATATCTCTTTTAAACAGTGCTCTCCCTCATCTGTTTGGGTTGGTTGTGGTTTTTGTTTGTTTTGTTTTTTTTCAGTATACATAATTTATCCCATCTTTCTCAGTCTCCCCCCAACCCTTATGTCAGTCCCATTTTACAACAAGCTACTTAGTACTTAACGGTAACGGTCTAGTAGTTCAAAGACAACACTTGAGATTCTAAGACCCAGTGCTTGAAGTAATTATCCCTAAAGTGCCTCTTTAAAGTAGACCTAAGGCTCCTCTCTGAGGTCCTAAAAGACACACAAGGATGCTGGTTGGTCCGGGGCTGGAGTGTTGTCCATTGCCTACACCTGAGTTCTCAACTATAGTTCCATGCTTCATCAGGAAGAGACAGTGCTGAACTGTGCTATTGTGTGCCCTCAAGTTGGAAACAGCTGACCCTCCAGCAGGTTTTCAGAGGCAGTAAATAGCATGGGGAAGAGACTGCCCATTCTTAGAGCAGCTGGTGGATTTGAACTACATACACCTTGGCATTGGCAGTGCAGCCACCAGAGCTCCCTAAAATGTGATGTTGTTGTTAAATGCTGTCGAGTCATAGTGACCCTACGAATGAAAGTCTTCAACACTGTGTGACTTTCATTCTTTCTCCAGGTTCATAGGGTTTCTAGAAGCAAGCTGTTACAGAAGTGGATGCCACTCCTGCTTCCATATGATAGGAAAATGTGACAGGAAGCCAAATATACATGTGTGAGTACTTGCATCCATAAAACTCATCAACAAAAGATATGACTAGACAATAAGAATAGATGTGTTAGGGAGCTCTGGTGGCCTAGAGGCAAGAGGCTGCACTGCAATCCCAGAGGCACATGATTCAAACCTACCAGATGCTCTACTGGAGAAGGAGGGACAATTTCCTCCTGTACCGTCGGATCAAATTTGACGGTATACACACAAAAAAATAATAAATAAATTAAAAAAAAAGAATAGGTGTGTTGACTATTATTAAGAATTCTTAGCCATTCTTTCTAATCCTAAATTATTATACGTCACAGTGTTCCTAGCTGGAGTTCTTTCCCTTGGTGCGATTTTACCTAGAAGCAGTGGGTTCTCCAGGGCTTTAAGTCCCAGATGGTGTGTGGCCCATGCATAGCCCAACAGCAGCAAAGGACCAGGTGACAAAAGGAACTTAAGCCTTCCCAGCCATCAACCTCTGACTTCTCTTAGTCCTGGAGGTGGGCATCTTTAGTTCTGGATGCACACTAGACTTTTAGT